TCAGATCCACAAAAACGACCTACAACAATTTATATATCTTCTAAACTTGATGAATGGAAACATGCTATTGAATCTTTTGGAAATAATGAAATTAAAAAACAATTTGAACTATCTGATAAGTCAATTAATTTGCAAATAAAGCAGTTTTTGGTTCAAGATGATAGGTATTTTAGTATGTTTATCAATACACAAGAAATTATAAAAAAATTATCCAAAGTTTAAGTTCCTAAATAATAAATTTTCAAGTTTCTAATTGTTTACAATTTTACTATTTGATTTATTAGAATAACTTATACTAAAATTTCTAATATAAAATTTTTCAAATTTGATTAATTATACAGTTAACCCCCTCTATAATCACCCTCTATAGCACAAAATCAATATAACCACATGTTTATTTTTGCTAACCTTTTTTATATTATTTATACCTCTATATAGGCACAATTACTTTATAGTCACTATTACATTTTTTGTTTACTAATTATATAACATCTATATAAACTCAACCAACTCAAATCATTCAAAATTAAAACTTTATTAAATAAATTACCTATTTATTTACTTCATCACACTCTTTACTCTACTATTTTTCAGAATATTAATTGTTTTTATTGTGAAGTATTAGATTTACCTTTACACTGGCTCAACTGTTTTAATCTAACACTACTTCAACATGTATATATTAACTTTACTAAATTAAATTTGTCAATAAACCAGAAAGTTATATTTATCTATCAAATACAACATCATAAGGCATTTAATGCTATAGCAATATGGTCTTTATCACATTGTTTAGAACTCACAATTAAAGGCCTAACTTCTAATTCTATAGTTCAAACAGTTTAAAATTTTTATATACTATATAAACAAGCGTCACATATCATTATCAAATTATTATTAAAAATTAATAAACAAATATATAAACAACTTTAAAAATTCTATTATGCTACTTTTTCTAACTGAAGAAAACAACAACAAATAACATATCTCTACTCTAAGCCAAAAGATTCATCATTAACTGTTAATAGGAAAACACTTGAATTAACTATATACTCTTGTCAATTTAGAATTACAGAACAGTTATATTCTTATTTAGGTGTTGTTCTCCTGTAGGCCTGGCTAAAAGAAAATTAATATTTAGTATAAATATTGGATTAAATTTAGTATAATTTTGAATTTTATTTAATTTTTAAAAATCTAAATGAGTTTTTAACTACTCTAATGGATTTAGATTACAAATAAATATGTTTGAGTTTCTATTCTTATATATAATTTTTATTTTTATTTGTACTTATACAAATAGTAGTATTTTATATTTATTTAGTTTCTATTTTTAAAATTATTAATAAAGATATGAGCAAAGCCTCACCTTAATACCAAAAAAAATAAAAATAAAAAAATAAAAAAAAAGATTTTTAATTGTTATTTTTTGTAATTTTATGAAAGTATAATAAAAATCTAATAGACTAGAATTTATTAATATAATTTTTTATTCAGTTTTCCTAATTTCATTATATATATAAAAGTATATAATTATCAAATATGTTTGATACTAATTTATAGTTTATAGATAAATTAGATAATTTGTGAAACTCCTATTCTTAAAGCTGTTTTTATAATTTTTGAAACATCTAATAAAAATCTCTGAATGATTTTTTAGTTATTTTAGTCAAGTTATTGATCTTGGTATAATTAATGTCACAGATTAAAATGAAATCTGATCAAAACGAAATTTTTCTGTTTTTTAAAGAAAATTTAAAAATTTTTGAAAGACATTTTTGGGGTTCTTTTTAGCATTAGGGGTAGGGTTTAAGGTTAGGTTTATTAATAAATGAGTATATGTGGGTTTTATAAGCTCTAAGAGTATTAAAGCAATAATAAAATTTAATTCTTTATTAAATTTTAATTTTAATGCTAAAAGAATTTAAAGAGTTATATTGAAAAAATGTTTAACAATTTTAATTCTTTAAGGAAGTTAAACTTTTGATAAGAAATGAAATAATATGAATGTTGCTAAAAGAAAACCTGAAAATTTAAATATAAGTCAGATTTAAATTTTTATATTTTCTTTTAGCAATCTTATGCATTAGTAATAACAGTTATCATCTTTTGAATAATAATTATAATTACATTATAATGTAGATTTCTATCTAACTATCCTAAACTTACCCTAATTAAAATATATCTGCATCAATTCACTCTTTTATTTTTGTGAGAAGAGAGTACTTAGAATATTATTTTTTAAAAATTTTTCTGGTTTATCAGACTCCTCAATAAACTCGTCTAAACGTTGATTAATTTTTTCAATTTCTTTTTCAATTTCTTTTATGTTCTTAATAAATTTACATATCTTTGCTTTAAAATTATATAAGAGTATATTAATAAATTACATAAAATTTAAATATTCATGAATAAGCTGAATCTACTTTGATGCAATACAAAAGGTTTACTATTTGATCTACTTCTGAATCTTCAGCTTATGCCAGAATTTTAGCTATAGTAATGAAAGACATTATGCTAAATTTATTGTTTATAAACCTTGTATATTAGAGAAAATAAATTTCTCCATCTACATGAAGAATTTTATTAGTTAAAAAAAAGTTATAGAGAGAACATATAAATTAATTACCTTTCCACCAAGTTTAATTTAATCAAACAGAAACTGCAATTTGTTTGAAATTTAGGTTGCCTTTTTTAAATAATGTTTGATAATTGTATTAAAATTATCATTCATGGTATAGACATTTTTTTTATAATTGTCTTCACCATTGATACCTAGAAGTTTCACCTCTCCTAATAAAAGATAGAAATATCTAAATTGTTCTCCACTTTCATTGGCTCCTTTAGTAACTTTGTAAGAAATAGCTTCATCTACTTTTTGCGATATTTTGTTTAGATATAATAACTCCCTTCTAATATTTTTAGGTATTTTTAAATCCTTTATAACAACAGTGACATTTCTATTTATAGAGTAATATTTATAGATCTTAGGCTTTTGATTGTTAATAATGATGGTGTCTTATATTTTATCATTTATATTTAACTCAGAACTGGATTGTCCGTTGTCAAGTGAATACTGATTGAAAATTTGAGGATCAAATATTTCTCTATCTTCAAATGAAGATTTAAAAAAATGACTTTTACATTTATACAAACAATAGGTAGGGTGCACCGGACCATATATTAACATTAAAAACTTAATATTTTATATAAACCAATTTTGCTGATATATTAGTAAAATGTTTTACTATTAAATATCTACTTATGTAATATAACATAATTTAATAACCCTTTGAAGTTTTTCTAAAGGTGATATAATGAATAGCTGTGTATAATCTTTTTCGCTGTAACTTTCATTTTTTTGCCATGTGATTATCCTAAAATAATAAATTACAAAATTAAACATTATTTAGCTAAATATATTTTTATAACTTATGCCTACCAAAATTGCAAAATTCTATTAATTAATATTATAGTGCTCTTATTATAACTCTCTTTCAGAGACATATCAATATATAGTAGTAAATATTCAATTGAAGTGTTCAGATCTGATGAACTTTCAAAAGAAATATCTTGAGAATTAAAATTATCGAAGGCATCCTTTCTGTACAATTAATTTCAACTATGTCTTCAGGTATTATAAACTTTAATTTTCCTTCAGATATTGCTTTAATTTAAGGCAAATTTGTACTGAGTATATAACTCCATAATTTATAATCTTTGACAAGATCAATTGTCATGCAATAAAAAGGATTAAAAATGTCTTTTTTGATAAATTCTATCTTATAGCTAGTCAAATATGTTAATTGAAAAAGATCACAAGTTTTCTAAAACAAAAAAATAAATTTAAAATTGATTAATGATTATAACACAAAATCTCATAATTACAGCCTATATAATCTCTTGTAACATATTGTAAAGATCCAAAAATTAGAAATAATAAAATTTACTTTTTTATTGGTATGAACCAGTTTCGTGATGACCATTTCACTGACATCTGTTTCACTGATAGTCATTTCACTGACAATCTATTTTACTGACAGCCCACTTTCTCAACAAATTAATCATAACAATAGGTCTAATTTTTTTTAGATAACTATAGTATTTTATTTAAAATAAAATTTTTTCTAACCTCAAATTCTATCTATTTGTCAAATATCTTTTGTTTTAATCCTTAATTGATAATTCCAAAATAGATTTTCAATGGTTTTTAATCATTTTATTAACAACTCTTTCAAATTCATCAAGTTGATTCAAATCATTACATGAATTGAGCTCTCAGCAGAATCTGTGAAATGCAAAATTAAGTAGGCTAGAAATTATAATACTTTAAAATAAGTAATAAGTATAAATAAAAAATTAATATATAAAATATTAATATCAACCCACAGTTATTGTTGTCTAATTTATCTTCTCTCTGTGGATAATATCTGTTCAAAATTGTTGAACTTTACTATTTGATTTTATTAATATAAATGTATAATAGTTAATATGAATAATTTAAAAGATTTATTAAATGATAATTAGTTATTGAATAATGCTTAATAAAAAATCAAGATTATTTGGTATCTAAAATGTTAACTAGTCATGAGATGAAAATTTAAATGGCCTGATCTAAATATGACTATAATACTTTAAATCCAAACTATTATAAAATATAGATAACCAATAACCTTGTTCAAATAAGTTTGCGATTGGAAGTCAGAAAAGGCTATTAATAAAGGCCAAAATTATTTAATAGCTTAATCCATTAAATAGTTTAATTGACGATTCTCCAGTCAACTGAAAGTAAAACGTGACGCGGTTCTATATATAAATTACTATAAGTGCAAAAGTAGAAATTTTCTAGTGATTGTCCAAAGAAAACTTTTTTTTCGTACTAAGTTAATCATCTTTGAGTCTCTAATTAA